GGCCCTCGGTGGCTGGCTCCTCCTGCTTCACAGGCAGGGATGCAGGGGCCTCCATGGAGCCTGCAAAGGGAGACATGGAGAGGTGAGGGTGCAGTGAGCCGGCCGGCACAGGTCCGAGCCCGAGTCCTGGGTCTGCTCCTGTGGCCACTGCCCCTGCCTGTTTCCCGCCACAAGAAGGGCCTCCTGCCTGGGGCCACCACAGGGCCTCGTGAAATGCTGCGCTCCTCTGATCTCCCTGGAGCCCAGGCCCTAGTGTGGTTACTCTGGGGCTGGCATTTCAGTGCAGGAGTGTGGGGGACACACACAGCCCCAGCACAGCCTGGGCATTCGCCAGCCACACCTGGGAGCAGGCCAGCTGACTGGAGCGGCCCCTGTCCCCACCTCCTGTGACAGCTGAGGCTGGAGGAAGCTGTCCACCCCCCACCCCCCACCCCCGGGAAGGCAAGGCCAAGGCCAAGGCCCTGAATCGGGTGATGCTACCCAGGTGCAGCAGGTAGGGGCTGGGGATGGTTCTGATCCGGGTGGCGGAACAGGCAGAGCCACGGACTGGCGATACAGGTTGGGGACTCCTCCGGGCATCCTGTGGTACACAGGATGGCCCTCCAAGCTGGCTCCTCCACCCTACCCAGGCCTCCCACTGGTGCGGCACTGCACACCTTCACTCCGCTGTTCTCAGAGACGTCACCTTCCCTAGTCCTCCTTTGGTGATTCTTAGCTGGACTTGTGGGCTATCCGTCCTTGGTGCCCATGCAGGCACTGTGTCTCAGCAGACAGCCAACCACATGAGGCTGCTGTTGGCACCCTAACGAAGGCGGCCCACCTGTCCCCAGCACGTGAGCGGCACAGCCAGAAGCCACAGCCCGCCTGCCTGGCTGCAGGATTGGCCACAGCAATACCCCTCAGACAGCCACAATCACCTGAGGGACAACTCACCTGGAGCAGGCAAGGAGGCTTTCCCCGAAGAGCTGGCCAGAGCTGTATCTGGGCTGCACAGACGCCGCACCCTGGAGAGAGAGGAACTTCAGCCAGAGGCAGCCAGGCCAGCTGCGGGAATCAGCAGTCACCCTGCCTGGGCTCACTGTTTGGGGTCACAGCTCCAGGGCCGGTCCCAGGCAGTGGATGCAGCCACTCTATCACCCAGGGAGCACCCAGTGCACCTGCACCGAGGCTACTGTGTCACCCCGGACACCTCAGGAGTCCACACAGGCCCCTCCCAGCAGCCTGGGCTCCCTCGGCACCATGGCCCAGCACAGCTCCCAGGCCAAGTCCCAGTCCTAGTGGGATGGTGGCTTTCTTCTGTGACTCGCCTGCTCTGAGAGACCAGTAAGCAGAAGCCTGACTTAGAAGTGGTCCCAAGAAAGCACCCGATGAAGGCTGGCATACGGCTCCTCCGCGTCCTGCAAATCTCAGGCTGGGTTGCACTAGCACTTCCCAGGGGTGACAACCGAAGTCGTCTGGGGGGAGCCGCCGGCCTACTGACTCAAGCACAAGAGCTCTCCAGCTCTGCCACCCTCGGCTGGGTGTCCTTGGACGGGACAAGAGCACCTGTTACACACAATACTTCCTTTCCCTCGGCTGTAAAACGGGGACAAAACATACTAGCCCAGGAGCTGCAGTGAGAACGAAATCACCCAAGGAACACAAAAACGCGAAAGCAGCGCCGGCTCGGGAAGCACACGAGTAGCTTTTATCCCGGAGACCTTGTCCCACGTGCGCCGTGAGGTGTGTCGAGACCCGTGGGAGACAAGCGCGCGGGGGGAGAAAGCAGCAGCAGCAAATGAGGGCGGCGATCACGGGCCTGGGGGGCACAGCGGGCAGCCTGGCCCTCTGCTCACATGAATGAATTCAGCCTTCCTGCAGGCTAACCGCACAGCCATTCCTGACCGTGCGAGGAGTGCACAGGGCAGCGCCCCTAAGCTCGGGTGCCGCTCGGCCAGCGGCTCGCCCCGGGATAGCGGCCCGCACCTCC